CAATTGAAGTGCTACAATATTTGAAGACATTGGATGTTTGTTTTCCAAATGCTTATATTGCTTACCAAATTTTGTTAACCATACCGGTTACAGTTGCATCTGCAGAAAGAAGTTTCTCGAAATTAAAGTTGATCAAAACCTATCTCCGATCAACTATGTCGCAAGAAAGATTAAATGGGTTGGCTATGCTATCAATAGAAAAAGCACTGGTTGAGCAGTTAAATTATTCAGATTTGATTGATGTTTTTGCTTCTAAAACAGCAAGACGAATAGTATTTAACTAATTGTTTGAAATTTTTGGTTTGATGGTTTATAATATAAATCGTTTTTATAATATATTTCGTTGTTGTTTTAATGTTAGTTTTTTAAGTTAGCAATGAGTCGCATAATACACTTTTGAATTTTGTCGCTGGGGGGCCTACTTTTCATATTTCGCCTCAGGGCCCATTAGATACAGGACCGGCTCTGAATGTACTGTATCATATAATAGTATTACATGATGTACTTTGGGAATCAATGCATTGGGAATGTACTGTATCATATAATCTTATTAATTAAGAAAGCTGAGCCTTGGATGTTTTTCGATTTCTATACAAATCTTCCACAACTGTAATATTGAATGGCTAGAAAGAATAAGGGTATCTGCCATAGTTGTCGAGATCCTGGGCATCAACTGTATGACTGTCCCAAAAAAAAAAAAACAAAGTCCTAACTGTTTACAAGGAATTGTAAAAATGATGGAGGTTGAAAAGAAGATGAACAACTTAGGCCGAATATTCTTGTGTTGTACAAAAGATTGTGGATATTTCGACTGGAATGATGGGAAGTACTCGAAGAAGAAACCCTTGCCGTTTGAAGGACAGTCTAATAATAATTGTGATGGAATGCAATCAAGCCCCGTTGGGATGTCTCCAAGCAAAGCTAAAGCACCAATGGATGACTTGTTGAAAAGTGTTGCCGAATTAAAGATAGAAGAGGATGTTGAGATATCATTCAACATAACTATCCGGAAGGGAAAGGGGAAGTTAGAAGATATCGCCAAGGAAAAGCGTAGGGAGGAGAACTGATTTTTATGTTTATGTTTATGTTTATGTGTCTTATGTAGTTGTAGCTACCCGTCGAACTTTTGTAATCGGATATAGTTCGACGACACTTATGTTTATGTTAATGTTGAGCCATATTTTAATTTCATGGTTCTTTTTTATGTTAATGTTGAGCCATATTTTAATTTCATGGTTCTATGTTCACCGCATGCTTAAATTTCATGGTTCTTGAGAAGCTTAAATTTTGAACAATTCTGTCTTTTTTAGCCAAATGACTGGGTATAATTTAGAGAGAAAAGCAGGATCAAATACTTTATATGCTTAAGCTGATTACATTTTCATGCTTTCATGTAATCAATTATTTTCATTTCATCGTGAGGGCAAGGCCTCGACCACAAGCTCATCCAGAAGCACTAAAGCTCCAAATGGGATCACTGTCTTGTCTAAATAGAAGCATGTTTCGAGTCTATATCTTACTTATTGTAGCTATGTTGGTTGAACACGAAGAACACGCAGCATAGAGTAAGGCAAAATACACAAGGTGAAATTACACATCCCATTGCTGTTCCAAAATACACAAGGTGAAATGACGCCACAATCGGCTAGTCCTGCAAGAACACCACCATGGGAGGCTCCAGCCCATGCACCAATAACAAAGAGAGCTAGCTTTCCATAAGTAATTGCTAATGACCAATCAGTGAGCCCACACCCATATGCATTACAGAAGGCTAGTGTGGGTGCAAAAATGTATATAATGACAATGTAATACCACTTAAGTGGGGGGAAAGATACCTGCTGAATTCCAAAATAAAGCATAAACCAAAATGATTGCCAAGTTGTTCATAAATGGGAATGGTAATGAACCAAAAGTAATATTTAATCAATATACATTCTGCCTGAGTTTACAAAATATTAGAACTTGAATATTACAAAATAATAGACAATTGGAGCCACCTTAATAACGTTATTACAAAATTTGCACCCAAAAAGTTTAGAAAATATTAAAATCTAAATATTACAAAATAATACACAATTGGAGCCACCTTCATAACGTTTACCACCTTCCACATCAAAAGAAATAGATTCTCCCTACAAACGTTCAATAAGATCAACGCTCTCTTGTGTTACAAAAAGTTGGTGTGTTTGAGAAGATGAAATGCAATGATCTTCGACCTTGTCAGCATTTTTTGTGTTCACGACATTTTCTTCCGGTCTACTACACTTAAGCGAAAGTGTTGAACTTGTTGGAACCTGTACATGATGTAAACAATAAGTTGGTTAAAAGGCAATCGAATGATTATACAATTGAGATAAGAGTAATGCAGAGATAGTAAGACCTTCTTTCGACCCTTTGATTTTTTTGAATTCACCTCCAACGGACTCTTTTTGCACAACTTTCTGGGGGCACCTTTTCTTTTCGTCAGCTTCGGGTCCAAAATGTGGATACTTTCAGCATTTTGAGCTTCAAGTACGTGCACAACCAAGTTACCATAATTCGATTTACATAATTGGTTTGTTTGGGATTCAATCCATCCCAACAGATGATTGGAGTGTTCTTCGTTCGACGCTATCAAGTTTGCCATCTTCGTAAAAGCGAGACACAATCTCTCGTACCTTAATTGCTTACTTGTACAAACCAAACCATCGTATGTAGTTGGGACCCGCATATATGGTCGACTAACATCTCGCCTCCATCTCCACAAGACATACTTCTCCGGAAGCAATTGTACGTCATTCCAAATTAAAACTGATATTGAGTGTTTGCAAATGATACCTCGAAACTCAAACAAATGACAATTGCACTCAATCTCACAACTCTCTCTAAGGAATTTCACTATAAATATTCTTTTCTTCATTCCTTCACTTAGAATGATATCCTCACGTACTTCGTACTTCGTTCCCCCGGGATAGTCTATCACAGATAAGAGGTCACAGTAAACCTTCCCTGTGAACTCTTGTTGGAACTCTCTAAATTTCGTGATAGTGTACACATCTTGAAATTGTTTCTCCATATTGTACTTAGTGGCACATGGAATCATTTGTGAAAATGATCTGAAATCAGCCTGAAATTCTTTCTCCACTTTAGTTCTCAACGCTCGCTCATATTGCTCTACAAAAAGCTTCAAAAAAGTCTTCGAATGCACATAGCCATCGAAGAATGCATTCATGCTCTCACTCCTTTGTGTGGTTGACATACCTGCCCAAAATGTAGTGTTTAGGTAGCATGGTACCCAACGAGTTCTCTCTTCATAGAGTCCACTCAACCAAACATGATCTCACAATTCAAACTGATCAAGCATATTCAACCAGCCTTCCTCAAATTCTTCACAACTTAATGTATCGTAGACTAACACATGTATAGCATGCATTATTGGACCTTTGGCTTTATGATAGCCAAACTTCTCTGACAACTTCTTTAGTATGTGCCATAAGCACCATCTATGCTTCGCGCTAGGAAAAACAATTTGAATAGCATTTTGCATAGCTCGATCTCGATCTGTAATAATTCCATTAGGAGCTTGGCCATTCATGCATTCTAGCCATGTCCGAAACAACCAAACAAATGTGTTAGTATCCTCATTTGAAACCAAACCACAGCCAAGAAGAGTTGATTGCCCATGGTGATTAACCCCCACAAAAGGAACAAAGGGCATATCATACTTGTTCGTGAGGTATGTGGTGTCAAAAGTAACTACATCTTCAAATTCCTTATACGCTTCGCGACATCTATTATCTACCCAAAACACATTTCTCAATCGACAATCATCATCTAAGTCCATACTAAAGAAAAAACCAGGACTACATGATTGCATTTTCGTAAAGTAAGCTTGAATTGCAAGGTCATCCCCTTCCCCTAGTCTTAAACGTCGCACTTTCTCGATGAAGTTTCTGCAATCTTTCTCAACACATGTCATATTATCAAAACCACCTGCCACTACAGTTGAATTAAAGCTTTTATGCAACGGTATGCCTGCTATGTCATTTACCTCAAGCTGTCTTTTGACACGTTCACTAAGTTGTCTATTACATCTATACAACCTGGACTTAGATGGGCTTGTTTTATGGTTATGTTCTAATGTTCCACGTTTATCGAAAGATTCCACATGCATCAAAAAACGCAGTCAATCTGGATTTACACCCAGTTGAATTGTTGGTGGAGGATTCAATGATGTGCTTTTATTACGTTTTCGTCGCCCTTCTCGACTACAGGTAAAACTCACATACCGTACTGACCCATCATCTTCCCTCGTTGTATTTCATTTTCTAACAGGAAATCCTACTTGATAAGCGTATCTCTTGTAAAATTCGAATACCTCGGTTTCATCCACAAATTTCATACCAACCGTAGGCACGATTATCTCATTTTCAACACCTACCATCTGGTTGGCCAAACCGTCGTCACCCACAATATTAGATGACTTCACGTCCACTCCTTCAAGAATGTCATCATCCACTCCTGCAAGAATGAGGTTCCACATTATGAGGTGAAAGATTGCAGAAACAAGTGTTTAATGAAGTCAATGCAGTGATACGCAACAATGCTACATTCCAGTTTTCCATCAAAACAGTCAGACATTTCCTATATTGTAAAATGGCCATTTATTGTCGTTAGGTAGGTGACAAACGTATAACTGCAAACTTCATGAATGAACATAGCATACCGTGGCCGGTTATCTCAGCAAGCATGTTGTCCGAAACTGACCCTCCTTCAATATACCTGTCATTCTCTGTAGAGGCGGAGGAAGAAGGAAAATCATGTGTTAATTTCGTCCGTACATGGTTATCTAACTCGAAAACCATGAGATTTTGAACGGAGAAGAAAAAGGTAATTTACCATTTGAACCTGTGGTATCTGCAACACCACCGATTTCATCTTCAACTCGACCTGCTACCACATCGGAGAACGAGAAAAATTACATGGGTGAGGATTGTGTTAAAGGTGTTGTTTGCGCTAACGGTGTCGTCGTCTCCGGGAATGGGGTTGACTGTGGCGTGAGTCGCCTCTTCCGGGAGCTGAAAATGAAAATGAAAATGAAGAGGCCGGGAACTGTGTTGAAGGTGTCGTCGCCGCCGCAGGCACGGGGTCGCCTTCGACGAAGAAGCGTGAATGAAATGAAAATGTCTGTAGGAGGAGAACGAGTGAATGAAATGAAAATGAAATGTCTGTAGGGTTTGTAGACATTTTTTATTCAATAATTCATTTTTGGTCGTGTTTCCACTCGTGGCGAGAAAGGCGAGAAATTGGATGAAAAAACGCCACCTCAGCAATTTTGGACACCTCTATGGATTGTATTATGTACCCATAGCATTATTGTTTATGTAAACATGTGAGGTTAGATTTTCTCATTTTTAGATTTGATAGGTGGGATGCTGTTACATATACATCAAAATTTATATAAATGATTACATAATGTGATATAACACTTTATTATTTTTGAATTTAAAACACTAACTTTTTTCATTCAATATTTTTCCCTCCACATCATTTTTGTTAATTTTTTATGTATTATTTTGATTTCAAGTAGCAAGATTCTGAGCTAATTGTTCCAATGGCTACTGAATTTAAGCTCATGTCTTTAATTGATCGCTGAACTGTAAAATGTCGAATTTTGACCACTGAACTTTGAAAAATGTAGTGTTTTAATAACTGAATTTAGGTTCCTATCTTCAATTACTCATAAAGTTTAAAATGCCGAGTTTTGACCACTGAACTTTGGAATATGTCGTACGTTACTCACTAGCATAACTATTAAATTTTGAAAAATATCGAATTTACAGTGAATAGTGTACAACATTTTTTTATGTTTGGTGGCCAAAAATCGATATTTTCAAGTTCAGTGAGTAATCGAAGACATAGGCCCAAATTCAGTGACCAAAACTTGACATTTTTCAAAATTCAGTGGTCAAAACTCGATATTTTAAAATTCAGTGGTCAATCAAAGACATGGACCTAAGTTCGGTGATCAAAACTCGACATTTTAAAGTTGAGTGGCCAATCAAAATATGGACTTAAGTTCTATGACATTGGAACAATTAACTCCAAGATTCTTGATCAAAACTCATTTTTCTAGTTGATATGAAAAATCCATTTGTACTCCAGTTGCACACAATTAAAAGGTTTGGAGATTGTGATTACAACAAATGAAAGGTCAAAGTAAAAGTTGCAAAAATTTGAAAGATTTAGGATTATAACAACAATCAGAGGCGAATCCAGGGTGTTGAGCCAGCACGGGCGACCATAATAAAATATTAAGGGCCCCTCTGATGTCATTTTTTTTGCAAAAAAATGTATTTTGGAATAGTGATTTGATGGAGAATGTGTAGTTAAAAATAATAAAAAATTTTGAATTTACGTGTAATATTATTTTATTAAAGAATATTTGATTGAAAATAAAGGAAAGAAAAATGTATCTGAACTAAATGGGAATCAAACAAGGCTTAAAATTTAAATAAAATAATTATTTTGTTGAAGTTGAAGATATGTAAATTTGTTATAAGAATAAATCGTAATCACCAAATAACATTATTGCTTTGTATAATTCCAAGGAAGAGCATGGTGTTTGAATTTTTACAATTGCATAAAAATCACTAAAATCTTACATATATTATTTTGATAAACTTTGTATCACAACTCATAAAGTGTCAAAATTTTCAAGCTTTCACTATATCCTAGAATAGCTCAGAGGTTCGATTCTCCACTGGCCCCTTTCCTTATTTCAATGGTTTTTGGTCAAAATTGTATAACTAAAAATTTATACAGTAAATTGATGGACAGATTTGAACCCAGGACATCAAAGAAGCAAAAGGAAGCGCCAAGCAACTTGGCTAGAAGGAACATTTGGAAGAAAAATAACTTACCAGTAATATATACTATATATTTGTCTGTTCTCAGCAAAAAAAGGGGCTCCTGGCGAATCCAACACGTGCGGCCGCGGGGGCTCGCTGGGTGCTGGATCCGCCAGTCAACAATTATTCTTTAAAATATGAATGACAAATATTTAGTTGCATTATTTGATTTAATTTTTTTTACTTACTTAAAAATATGAAGGAAATTATTTAATTCTTTTTTTTTTTACAAAAAATCATCACTAGAGATAAGATGTTGAAAGGGCTGTGGCTCAACACCCTTCTGTTTGCCCGGTAATGTTTGGCGTTTCCACCACTTCGTCAAGTATGCAAGACCTGAAAAATCAAGGCGGGGCTTTCTCCCCCGTTTTACCTTCGGCGTGAGAATTAGTTTTTAGACTTAGAAAGAATATATTTGAAATTCAGATGGCTAAAACGAGAATGAGGGAAAAAAAATCCCTTACCTGTGTCACATCCGGGGGTATTTATAGATATTAGGCACTAGGTAACCGTTGAGCGGTTGTGGTGCCACGTGTCCCACGATGGTATACCCACTATACCCACGTTCTGAGTGATGAGTCCTTAACTTCCCGCCTGAAGATTGTACATGTATCAGCGGCCATGAAACCTGGTCAATTCATTAAAGGTTTTATGGCTAAGTGTTTGGACAAGGAATATCATTCCTGTTGAGGATTTCGCTTAGTGGTAGAATGATTTCTAGGGATAGTGGTAGAGCGCCCTTTGGGGGTTGTAGTAGAGTGCCTCCCGGACGTAGTGGTAAAACGCCTTCTGGGGGTTGTGGTAGAGCGCTCCCTGGATGTAGTGGTAGAGCGCTCCCTGGGTGTAGTGATAGAACGTCCTATGGGGGTCGATGGCCTTGCATCGGTGTGCTGTGGTCTGCCTTGCTTGTCCTTGAGGGTGGCTACTTCTATCAACCTATATCAGATGTTATAAATAATAGAAGGTTAAGATAAAAATGAGTTTGGTTTGGTGGTCGTAAGGGTGAAGATTGGTGTGTGTGTGTGTAAATATAACTTATGTGAAAATGTGAAGTTAAAATTTTGTCCCATTTAGATTTGGTCAAAATACGTATGTCTGTTCAATGGACGACTTTGGATGTAAATTATTCATTTGTCCACTAGTCGCACAAAATTAAAAAGCTTGGATTTGCAAGTACAACAAATGAAATATTAGAGTTAAGTTGCAAAAATTTGAAAAATTGGGGATAACGACTACAATTATCCCTTAAAAATATGAAGGACAAATATTTAAGCCTTACTTTTTTATTTTTATCTATTTTCCTAATTTAAACCTCCAATAAGGGGGCGCCACATACCCTCGTGGTTATCCAAGGGGTTGTTCGAGGGGACAGCACTTTAAGATAAGAGAAGGGAAAAATAAATGTTTATACAAAATCATCATCAAAGTTAAGATATTATATTATAAATAATAAAAGGTTAAGTTAAAAATGCAATGAAGAACGATTAAGAATATAAGCCCCTGTTTGAGAATCATTATTTTCAAACTCTTTATTTTTTACATACTCATTTTCAAGTACGCATTCACATAAAAAATATTTTGCTCGTGAACTCAAGTTTTTCCTACTTTTTAACTGCATTCTGTTAAAAAATATTATTCAAAACTTTATTTTCCATAATTAATATTTGTGAAACAGGGGTTAAGCATGTTAAGAATATTTAACACAATTAAAATATGATGCACTTATATCAAATTATAGAATCAATATAGCCACCCTTCACTGTTGTACTTACATATTTTATTTATTGAAAAGAGAAAACTAAAAAGGGTAATTTGTAAAATCAGTGCTAAAGTACTTACAACAAAAGTGATTAGATTAGGTTTGACTCGTGCTTACCTTCTGTCTAATCCCCATTATCTAAAGACATCTTAAAAATATCTTTATCGCTTCTTTTTTTTTTTTTTTTTTTTTTTTTTTTTTTTTTTACAGTCACTAGTGTTGGGTTGTGTGTCCATAAAGTGTATTTTACTATGATAAAATAATAATTTATAATAAATAAATTGTGATTTTATTTATTTATTACTGAGCATGCAAATTAAAGTGTCTATAACAATTTGTGATGATATAAGTGGGGTACTTGCGTTGACAAGTACAGTGTGACACAATTTATATTTTGATCATAAATAATTTATTCACAACTAATGTATAAGAGTTGGCACCTATTATAGGAGAGTTGTAGTATTAATCAATTTACTATTCAGATTTGTGAGTTATTTTATCACAGAAATAGTTAAAGGTGATACTAGTACACTTGAAGTGCATTGAACGGATCACGTGACGAATTTAATTTTATAACATGGCCGGACAGAGAATTAAATTCTACCTGATCACTTTGCATTTCATCTAAATCCATTGAAAATGTTATGTATATCTTTTACTAATTTTAATGGTTCTTTTATTCATCATGGGTGAGATCAATTTGATAGATCAAATATCTCGATCAATTGGAAGCTTGAGAATGAGTGAAGTAGAAAACATAAATTCATGTTGAAAAATCACCACTCCAAAAAGGATAGAGTGACTACTTAAATATTTTTTGTTAAACGGTTAAAATCTGAGCTCAATGTTTAGCAACGACTAAATTTCGACATCTGTAAGGTTCATAGGACCGTTGAAGAAAATGATACTTAAGTTAGTGAGAATAATTAGAAGGGCAAAAAGGTCATTTATACTCATACCTAATTATGAAAATCTCGGATGTGGATAAAATACATATATGACATGTCAGAGAAAAGTATTACAAATTTATTGACTTCTGTGAACTTATATATGCAAGAGTTCAGTCTTTTGTCTTGAGTGAAAAGACAATGACTAACATTTAGATTGAGTGGTCTAGGATGGAGTGGACATGATCTAATTATTAGAGCATGGAAATATATTTTCAATTGGAAACTTAAATACGTTAATCATAATG